TCCTGTGATGCTGCCATCCGAGCTGTTTTTTTTTTTTTTTTCTTTTCTTGAGACAGAGTCTCACTTTGCTGCCCGGGCTAGAGCGCCCTGGCGTCAGCCTCGCTCACAGCAACCTCAAACTCCTGGGCTCAAACGATCCTCCTGCCTCAGCCTCCCGAGTAGCTGGGACTACAGGCATGCGCCACCATGCCCGGCTAATTTTTTTTCTATGTATTTTTAGTTGGCCGATTAATGTCTTTCTATTTTTAGTAGAGACGGGGTCTCGCTCTTGCTCAGGCTGGTTTCCAACTCCTGACCTTGAGCGATCCTCCACGCTCGGCCTCCCAGAGTGCTGGGATTACAGGCGTGAGCCACCGCGCCCGGCCTCTGAGCTGGCTTTGTCATGGGCACCTACTGGGTGCCCCCCCCCCCGCCAGACCCCAGGCTAGGCCCAGGCCCCCATGACATGCTCCCTCTTCTGTGGTCACTGCCACGGGCCTAACTTTATGTCATCTGGGAGCACGTGGTCTTGGGTACCAGCATGGCGCTCAGACCCCTCCCCAGGTACAGGCGGGCATGGCAGGGACAAGGAATGCCGACCTGGTGGGAGGCGAGCCCCAGGGCCGGGCTGGTGAGCTCCCCGCCATCCTGAGCCTTCTCCCGGGCCAGCCTGGCTGCTTCCCTCACTTCCTGGAACTTCTCAGCAAACTGGAGAGCCGAGGGAGGGAAGGAGAAGAAACAGTCAACAAACCCCCAGGTCCACCCACCCCCAGGTCACCCCCGTCCGGGGACAGCCCTGTCGCTTCCGAAGTAATCTTCAGAACTGAAACCATCCCCTCATCACACAAACTGGAAGAACACAAGAAGGTCTGCAAAATGATGTTCCAGCAGAGGGGGCATTACGCAGGCTGCTGGTGGCCCTAAATCACAGAGGTGGCACACTGACAAATGGATTCCCTTTCCCTACCTGACTTATTTCAACAAAGAGAGACTCAGGGCCGGGCGCGGTGGCTCACGCCTGTCATCCCAGCATTCTGGGAGGCGAGGCGGGAGGATCGCTCGAGGTCAGGAGTTTGGAACCAGCCTGAGCAAGAGCGAGACCCCGTCTCTACTAAAATAGAAAGAATTAATTGGCCAAATGAAAAATATATAGAAAAAATGAGCCGGCATGGTGGACACGCCTGTAGTACCCAGCTACTCGGGAGGCTGAGGCAGGAGGACTCGCTTTGAGCCCAGGAGTTTGAGGTTGCTGTGAGTGCAGGCTGACGCCACGGCACTCCTAGCCCAGGCAACAGAGTGAGGACTCTGTCTCACACCACAACAAAAAAAAAATCCCGTTTATAACGAAAGAGTAGGAAAAAAAAGAAAAAAGAAAGGTGACACAAGGACAAATTTAAAGAGAGAGTGGGTCTTGGGCTCTGAGAAGCATCCGTAGTCAGTGAGAGAATAATCTCCACTCCTGTGTTCGTTGCACTAATGATTACTACATTTACCCCACTGGTAAGCTATGACAGATCGCACACACGTTTTTCCAGTTAGGATAGGATACAATTTTTCCCCCATTTTAAAATAAATTTCCTTAGTTTAAAATTAATTTTGTTAAGGAAAATCTTAACAAATAGCCACTTGATTTGTGCAAAAGGCATCGGTGTCATTCATGAGGGGAAAATGATTTTTTCAAAAAATGGTCCAATGGCCGGGCCGCACGGTGGTCACGCAATATGATCCCAGCACTCTGGGAGGCCGAGGTGGAGGATCACTCAAGGGCAGGAGTTTGAGACCAGCCTGAGCAAGAGTGAGACCCCGTCTCTATTAAAAATGGAATAATTACTCAGGCATGGTGGTGCCTATAGTGCCAGCTATTCGGGAGGCTGAGGCAGGAGGATCGCTTGAGCCCGGATTTTGGAGTTGCCTGATCAAGGCTGACGCACGGCACTGTACCCTGGCGAAAACAAGACTCTGTCTCAAAAACAAAAAACACAAAAATGGTCCAACAAGCACTCAAACATTATTGTGGGCGAAAAAGTGAACCTGGACCCCTACCTTGCACCACCCACAGAAATCAATTCAAGACCTACATGAGAAAGATAAATTATAAAGCTTCTAGAACAAAACAAAGGAGAAAAATCTTCATGACCTCAGCAAGGCACAGAAAGCACTAATCATCAAAGAAACAATGGATAAAGATAATATGGAAGTTAGCGCCGGGCGCGCGGTGCCACACCTTGGTAATCCTAGCACTCTGGAAGGCGAGGCGGGATGCATCACGCCAAGGGTCAGGAGTTTGAAACCAGCCCTGACAACGAGTCGAGTCCCGTCTCTATCTATAATAGAAAGAAATTAATTGGGCATAATATATATATACAAAATAGGCCGGGCGTGGTGGCGGCATGCCTGTAGTCCCAGCTACTGGCAGGGCTGAGGCAGCGAGGATTGCGCTTGAGGCCGCCAGGAGAATTCGAGGTTGCTGTGAGCGAGCTTGCGCCACGGACTGCACTCTAGCCTGGGCAACAGGTGAGAGCTCTGTCCTCAAAAAAAAGAAAGATAATATGGAAATTATAAGATGGCAGAGGGTGCTGGACAATGCAGTATTGGTGGTGTGTGCCCAGCCCAGCCCAGCCCAGGCACTCATGTGATACCCCGAAGAAGAGTAGGTGCATTCAAACTAGTGAGCATGCTGGCCAACAGACACTGGAGACTACAACAGGGAACCTGGAAGCAGGCTTCTAGTTCATCTAATTTGCTTCTTAAAACTAAATGAATTTTTTTTCAAGAGATGGGTATTGCTATGCTGTCCAGTCTGGCCTTGACACTACCTGGGCTCCAATTTGATCCCTGCCTACCTTTGGCCTCCCAAAGTACTAGGGTATTACCAGGATGAGCCCCCACACCCGGCATTCTGCTCCATTCACACTCGCCTGCCTCATTCCTTCAAGGAGATAAGGCGCGGGACCTGGCCTCGGCCCAGGCCGCCCGGAGGAGGAGAAACCTGGGCCCAGCCGTCCTCCTCCACCCGTCTCCGGACCCACCTGGAAGTCAGGTGCTGCTGCGGAGGCAAAGCCGAGGGCCGAGACAACGTGTTGGCACCCGACTGTCGCCCACTGCCCGAACTTTCTGCGAGGTTTTGGTGAAGGTCATGTTGGGCGGTGACGGATCGCTGTTGATGATCGCTGGGCCGTGCGGCGCGAGAACGAGTTTCGAGGTTGAGCGGGACTGATCATAACACAGAACAGGAACCCCGTATCACCTTGCGTCAGCGGCTCGGCAGCCCTGAGGCCATTTCAGGAGGAGAGAAACTGAGCGCGGGGAGGCCCAGTAGTTTTCCCATCCCCCTGGGGCCCACGGCAGCAGGGGCCGGTGTCCCGGGACCTGGTGCCCCACGCCCGCACAGACGCCCGGCGGACCTTGGCCCCGCCGATGCTGATGATGCGGTAGACGTTGCGGGTGGCACTCGTACGAAGATACGGAGACCGGTGAGCCTGCGTGCTTGCCCGCCGCGGGATCCAGTTCCGCTTGGTGGCGGGTCGATCTGGAAGCACGTGCGCCCAGCGTGCTGAAGATGGGGCTCTCCCCCTGCCCAGGGCAGACGGGTGGCTCCAGGCGGCCGGGAGGAACGCCCGGCAGCGGCCGAGGCGCAGAGCGGCGGGGGCGGGGCTGGGGCTCAACGCATGGCCGTGGACATTGGTCAGGCCGGCTGGGAAGGCTCTAAGCGGCAGCCGAGGGTGGCAGGAGGCCGCCGCTTCGCGGCCCCTGGGGAGAGAGGAGCGCCCTGTGAGTGTCCCCGGGACTGGTGGGCAAGGCAGGCGTGTCAGCGCCTCATGACCCGCCGGCGGGGGCGCGCCCATCAGCAAAGGCGAGGATTAGACAGACCACTACGCCAGCCGCGGGACCCGGCTTTTCTCCTCCTGGGAGAAGGCCCCGAACACCCCGGGCGGGAGGAAACATGGCTTCTCGGCAGAGCCAGACCAAGTGCTCCCCCAAATTTCTTCGGCTCGCCAGCGAAATTCTCCACTGTGCGCGTTAAGGGAGCCAGGGTGAAGCCCCTCCGCCCTGGCCGGGAGGCAAGGCCACACTGCAAGTTCGGCCACTTCACCCGTCGCGGCCGCAGGGTGGGGCCCTCCGTCCAAAAGTGGGGCGTGCGCAGCGTGCTTACTGGAGAGACAGTTCCCCTTCTGCCTAAACCGGAGAGGAACCTCAGCCCCACTGGGAGCAGGGGGACATCTTTGGAGGCCGGAGTCCCAAATCCCTAGGGATAGAGCCCCCACCCAGTTGAAAAGACAAGAGTACCAGCCACACAAGCCACCCCCCCAGTCCGCGTGGGGTGGTCAGGGAAATCCAGGATAAGGAAGCACTGAGGCTCCGCCCACGATTGCGGAGACTGTCCCCCCGTCCCCGAGCGTGGTTCCCCTGGCCACCAACCCAGGAAGCCAGGAACTGATGCTGGGAGGGGACTTCCTGATCCTCCCCTGTTACCCCAAAACCCTGCCTCTAGGGGATCTGCAGGGACGCCAGGAGCTTGGGGGAGGGGAGGCCCCAGCCCAGCAGCCTCCGTGGTCAGAGGCGGTGCCCCCCCCATCCTGTCCTGGGCAGCTGCAGTCCGGTCACAGGGCTCTGAAACGGGGCCCCCGGGTGGACGGGCGGGGCGCCGGGGGCGGGGGCCAGGCCTGGGGCAGGGGTGGGGTTGGAGAGGCTGACATCCGGGGGAGAAGGGGACCCGGGCGGCGGGGACGGGAGGCACACGCACGGAGATGCGACCTCGGCCTCCTGTCGCCTTCTCAGGGGCAGCCCTCACCTTTCAGGTCGCTGTCACCTCTACCTGGGGTCATGACCTCGGGCCTGCGGGCGGGGCAAGGCTCCTCCTGGCCGGGGTCTGCATACAGCAGGCGCTCAGCGTAGAGGCCCCAGTGGGGAGGGGACTGGAAGCCTGGAAAGAGAGGGAAGCCTCCCTACCTGTTCTTCTGCCCGGCCTGATCCGGGCGCAGGCACACCTGCCCACCTCTCGCGCCCTCCCAGGGGACCGATAAGAATGCCAGCCCGGGGTGGGTGGAGGCTGTTACTGCTGTTGCCGTGGGGGAGTCCGGAATCCAAGGGCCCCGGGAAGGGCCGGGTCCGGTGTGTCCCCTCAAGCTCTGCTGGCCGGGGTTTGTCACCTCTGGTCACAGGCAGGCCCCCTTCCCACACGTGGTCCTGCAGGGGCTGAGCTGGGACCCACCTCCCCAGGCCCGAGCCCACCCAGGGCCCCACGTGTCAGTCCCGTTCCGGCCCTTTCTCTGGCTTCTCCCCCAGAGTCACACGGTGCCATCGGGTTCGTGGGCAGAGGCCAGGTGGGTCCTCAGAACCCGGCCTGCCTAACCCGGAGCTCTGAGCCTCACCGTTGGGTTTTCCAGCAACTTCAGAGGTTTGTCCTTTTCATGTCTGAGGCCTCCTTTCCCTGGTTTGTTTGTTGGTTTGTCTTCAAGACAGGGTCTCACTCTGTCGACTGGGCTGGAGTGCAGTGGCGTCATCACAGCTCACCCGCAGCCTCCAACCCCTGGGCTCAAGCGAGCCTCCTGCCTCAGCCTCCCGGGTAGCTGGGACCACAGGTGTGAGCCGCCATGCCCGGCTCATTTTTCTGCTTTTTGTAGAGACGGGGTCTCGCTCTCTTGCTCAGGCTGGTCTCGAATTCCTGACCTCCAGTGATCATCCTCCTGCCTCAGCCTCCCAGAGTGTTAGGATTACAGGCGTAAGCCACCGCGCCCGGCCTCCTGTTCTTTTATTTCTGTTC